AAGCTTAATCACATTATCGTTGAAAGACGAAAGGAAATCACCATATTGATACATGTTTAAATCCAATCTAAGCTTTCGGCTTACATATGCCATTATCAAAGATGACAATTTCAATAAATCAAACAACACACGGAGGAAACAAGAATAATAGTCTGCTCTTGCTGCATGAAAAATTTCAAAGTAACGACAAACTCGTATAGTGATTTTCCAAGCGTAGATTGGATGTGGCACAAGGCTGAAAATAGTGAGTTCGATCCTCACTGGGTGAGGATCGAACTCACTACTCAATCATAATTGTCCTAGCGAGACAAGCTTGCTAACCATTACACCACATCGAGGTTCCCAAACGACAGACTCGTATATACGAGACGTGGAAGCGAAAATCGCAGCTCATGACGTCACACATGACTATGCGAGAGTGAAAAACGAGAAGTATTAAGTATGGGAAGCCGTTGGTATAAACCAATGGCTTCTGTTATAAATTATAGGCATTTAAGGATATTTGTGGAGATTTCATAGTTGTGTTGTTAGAGTCATCATTTAAATGTAGAGTCAAGCTCACTCTAACATTTTTAGACAATTAAAAAAAAAACATGGCTGCCCGCGTACTCAATTCCGGGAAATCCTTGTTGACAACACAACCTTAAGTATTGCGCTTTCTGTGGTCGTACCCAAATATAAAGAACTGGTAATATTAATATTACCATTATAGACCGGAAGAACGGTTACTACACATTGCCCAGGTACGTCCAGTTATGCAAAAAAGCCAAACTCAGGTAAAACTGGCTGCTTCGTCAACGGATGCTGAAAGTTTCCTCAGAAGGAAACAGCTAATATTAGCATTAACATTAACAGTATTAATTTTGATCTCGTGGTCAACACGTGATCATTTATACTTCAGGCAAAGTTCAAACTATAGTGGATTATAGATTTGTTTCATTATTAAATTATATCGTTTCCTTGACACATAGCTGTTAAATGCAGTCACTTTTTCAGGGATTATTTTTTTTGGCCTATAATTTCATTTTCCTCACCTAACTTCCCTTTCAAATCTCACCCACCTTCTGCATTCAACCCTTTATTATTTTCTGACCGACCTCGCGAATCATATATTACAGATTCTATTTTCTTTTACCCTCAGCTGTGTAACAATATACTGGTTCCGCCTCCTTCCTAATCCGGACTTATGGCCCTTGGCGCCGTTCAAAAGAAAATAACAATTACAAAGGCCAGACATAATATGGTAAAAAAAACAAAAAACAACCTTAGGTTTATCATTTACTATATAAAGTTCAAAACACCTCACCCAATTATTTCTAATAACGCGGGATCTTAAAAATAGCACTTTTGTAAAAAATAATGTTGTTTGTGAATTCTCATGTCCCTTCGGAGATTTAATCTCCAATAACAATAATCTAAAAAACAGCATAAAATTACTACATAGGTCATATATGCACCATACTATCTCGGAGATTAATTTGTCACTTGTCGAAACGTTGCACGATTCCTTCACATTTCAATTATCGTGTCACTATCAAAGAAAATGAAGTTACTGGTATTTTTTAAAATCATTTCAGCAGAAGCAAGGTAATAAAGCCACTGGCTGATTGAGTGTTAGAGAATATGAGAAAGGAGAAAGGACAATAAAAGAACAAGAATTAAGAAGACAAAAGATAAGGATTGAGGCAGCATTTAAATTTCCCTCCAAGCAAGGCACTAAAGCCACTAAGAGGCAAGGGGGTTCCTGAGTGTTAGTGAATATGAGAAACAATACTATTAAAGAGAGAGGACTATAAAAGAACAAGAATTAAGAAGACAGAAGTTAGCGATTGACATAACATTTAATTTTTTCAAGGTAAAACTTGACTGAGAAGCAAGGAGCCGGAAGAGAGTTCCATCAGCGAGAAAAAAAAACTCATAACACCTAGCCATTTAAACTGTAAAATGATGAGACCTTGCCACAAATTTGGTACTGCGTTTAAATTTATAAAGTTTAGGTGCCGTAGAGTAAAGTTCATCAGAAGAATTTCCAAGGAATTATTTATAGAAAAGGCACAGGAGGCTACGTTACGGCGGCGGGGAAGTGACTGAAGCCGAGATGCCATGTCAGAACCAATAACATTGCAGATTCTTCTTTGTATTTTATCAACAATTATATGTATAGCAGAAGGACCAGACTAGATGTGGCAGCAATATTCTATGTATAAATGAATATCAGACTTATAAGTATGTAAGATAGCCTGGTTAGTTAAATTGTCTAGCACGACACAGTAACCTAACTTTCTTAGCCGCTAACCTAGCACTTGCTTCAGTATAAACTTTCACTTTCGTACCAGAGGAAAACAGAAGGTGTAAAGAGACATTCTCTTGGGTGTTAGCTTGATATATTTAACAACGGAGCACTGCTTTAAGACCATTTCACCCAATCCTTGACAACCGTGCGTCGCAATGGAAACGCACCGTGTTTATCGGCTCCAAGATGTTTATGTGCCTGAAAGAATATGAAAAAAATAACAAAGCATTATTAGGACAATAAAAGAACAGGAATTCTATTTTGTTTAAATTCATAATATCTAGAGTTCAACGATAAAAAACATCTTAGGCCCTAGCCATTTAAACTGTAAAATGATGAGACCTTACCGCCAATCTAGTCCTGCCTTTAATTCATAAAGTTTAGGTAGCATAGATGAAAGGGTGCTACTATAGCGTGAGATCTACCTCAATATAGCGTGAATTCTACCTTCCGTTGCGTCTATAGCGTGAGGTCTACCGAAGCCTTGAACTATAATATAATATTGTATGAAATGGACAAAGTTCGACAATTATTTAAAGACATTTTTATGTTTAACATTCTTTTTTATAGATACAAGTATTTTAAGTAAATGCTCTTTTATAATAAACAGTATTAAATAACATTTGCCGGCTTGAATGTCCTAGAAATTTTCATAGAAAACCTGGAACCTGTATCATATAGCCTGACGTGCCTTACCGCTCGGCCACAAAGGATTGTTCGGTTGGCAAGGTCGAATTTACTGCTTATAAACTTCAATTTTCCATGAATCTCTCACGTACATTCACGTCATTTGTTTACATTTGATACGCCATGAGCACTTATTATTGAAGGTATCCATGACAGCCAAAGAGAGGACCTGTAAACATTTTATCCAGGGATAGAATCTATAAGAATTTTATGGGACTTTACAATGGATACAGACAGAGCAATCAAAAACCAAAAAAACTGAATGTACTTTCTTATTGACATGATAATCCCTAAAGATTGCAATCCATCTTGAAGATCTTCAAAAAAAAAATACAAGGATCTAAAAAAATATGGCACCTGAGGATATCAATATTTCCAGTTGTAGTTGGATCCCTCGGATTGATTGGAAAATGTTCCGGTAGACAAATTGAAGGGATTCCTAGTATAACAACATCCCGAAGAAGGTTTTTGGTCAAGGGCTCATTCGGATAGAGATATATTTTAAAACATCGATCCTTGTCAAATAAATATCCGAAGGTAACATTCAAGTGTGTGTGTGGGGGGGTGATAAAAATACAGCCATCATCAAAGAAGACTAAGTAATACGAAAATCCTTAGATGTAACAAATACACGAGACGACAAATAAAATTACCGTCTATATGAAGACTTGAACAAAAATGGAGATCTAAACCTTCGTATAGGAAAGTACTGAAAGCCTCAGAATGAAGAAGACATCAATACCCGCCAAGGTATAGGAGAAGTGATCTTAAAGAGATCTTATAATGCCAGCCCAAGACCAATATATATCAATTAATGCCAACAAGGCTAAAATAAACAAAGATGACTCAAACATGCTTATACCATAAATTCGATGATACTTTTGACTACATAGTATCATGGACCCAAGAAAAAATACATTATTAGACATAATAGGCTAGGACTATATATATATATATATATATATATATATATATATATATATATATATATATACTATATCACAAACGGTGAAGGAGTAACAATACTGTAGAATTTGCCAATGTTCACAGACAAGAAAATTGATGGATCAGTCAAAATTGAAAAAAAAAAACTGCCAAACAAATTGATACTTGTTCACATGTTTCCAATAATTCGAGAATCTTTACTGTTTTGCCCGGGGTATAATAAGTAAAAATGGTAGACTTTTACATATTAAGGTGTTGCTGTCTTGCTATACACATTCAGCTTTATTCAGTCACTGTATAAATTGAGTGACTATTAGGCTTTATATGAGATGAACAAAAATATAAAAATGAAATAAATGAACAAGTTAGACAGCTTGATGAGTGAACTTGACTCCATGGGGAAGGACTGTAGTGAGGCAGAAGAGGATAATTGGCGGTCATTGTCTTGTGCATTAATTTAGTCTTTACTGAGAAGGGGCGTTTCCAAAATCAGGAGACACGTGAGAAGAAATTCTGACCCAGGTGACCATGTGAAACAGTAATAACTGTAATAGCATCTTGTCAGCAACACGTGCTAAGCGATGTCATATACATACGTACGTACACACATACATGCACACACACACACACACACACACACACACATATATATATTCTTTATAATTGTAAACATTTTTAGTGGGTACAAGTATTTGAGTTGTTTTATTTTCTTAAACAGTGAAATAAATAAATAAAAAAGTAGGTATAGCAAGTCAAATAACACACACACACATATATATATATATATATATATATATATATATATATATATATATATATATGTGTGTGTGTGTGTGTGTGTGTATGTATGTATATAAATTTAAGCTATGTCAATTAGGAAAGTCTATTCAAAACACATGTATCCCATATATATATAACGGCCACTGCAGATGTATATATGTGCATGTATGTATAAGCATAAAAAATAAGAAAGCCTCTAATATATATATATATATATATATATATATATATATATATATATATGTGTGTGTGTCTGTGTGTCTGTGTGTCTGTGTGTGTGTGTGTGTGTGCTTGTTTAATGTTTCAGATCCAATGCTATGACTTCAAGAACAGATAGATAGATAGATAGATAGATAGATAGATAGATAGATAGATAGATAGATAGATAATAATGAAGCCAAAATTTCAGAGATAATGTGAACAGCGTAACACAAACACAGACGTACATACAGCATTGTGCTACTTTTGACTTTCTGATGATCGGTGTGACAATCAAATAGATAGATAGATAGATAGATAGATAGATAGATATGAACAAACTGATATAGATAGATAGATAGATAGATAGATAGATAGATAGATAGATAGATAGATAGATAGAATCAAGGCGAATTAACAGTTATGTTAACAGTGATATACAGAAATAGGTATTAACAGATTCACACAGACTCGCACACACATACGCACACAAACACACACACACATATATATATTATAAATTAATTGATTTAAAATTCGCTTGAAGATGAAATGGAAATAATGCTTTTAATTTAATTGCAAAATTAAATTCGGGGTTTTTAGCTTCTATTTTTGAAACATGGTTGGAACTGTATAGCGAAAAAAAAACATATTTTAAATCAATTAATTCATAATATTAATGCTCTGTAAATTTACATTGAGCACTATTTTGTAAAATAAAATATCTATAAGAACACCGGATTTTATATCTTACTGTTCTTTTTCTTTATATATATATATATATATATATATATATATATATATATATATATATATATACAACATATATATATAAAAAGTATATTTGGGCAGATACTTTTCTTTTAGCCATATTTATTTATTTTTTTCAACGTTCTTACATTTTGGGGGTAGTAAGGAAGTGCAAAAAAAATTCTCTACTGTACAATGTCCCAAGCACTTTCAGCAACTTCTTTAAACATTTTGAAAGGGGCTTGTGTTAGATATTGTTAATTTCTCTTCATTTTGTTTCATTTTATAGATTGATACAATACAAAAGCCCTGAAAATTTTATCAACGCATGTTAAAATGTTGTCCATCACAGTTTACAAAGCTTTGAAGTGTACCTTCCACGATTCGACAAACATTTTGCACTAGCATCCTTGTGTATTAAGTTTTGAAATGCATCACAACTTACTGTCCACCAATTTTGGTCCACCCTGTATATATATATATATATATATATATATATATATATATATATATATATATATATATATATATATATGTGTGTGTTTTAAAAGTGAAGTTCTTAGAAATCTCTGTGCAAAAAAATTGCTGTATAAAGTAAATAAAATAAGTAATATTTATATTACATATAAATACTTATAGATATTAAATGTTTTTTCAAATCATATTCTCTCTCCATATATATATATATATATATATATAGAGAGAGAGAGACAGAGACAGAGACAGATAGATAGATAGATAGATAGATAGATAGATATTGTGTGGTGGTATTAATAAAATTGTGCTCTATGTAATATAACAGAGCTATTAAGTATATGTTATTAATTTTTTTTTTCTCACCAGTAGCACGGCTCGGAGTTTCATGCACAACGCAGTCTCCAGATGCTGGGAAGAGACTAACCGTGACATCTGTTACAGTTGAATAAAAATGTTTGATTAACGCAATGCAACCTATCGCTATCAATATTACACGGTGGCCCACAAAAAACAAGAAATTTTAGATTTACTATATGAATGAGCTAAAACTATTAACACTTTTTAATATTTGTTGTTTCAGGATATGGCAGTTACTAAATTTTCAAAGCGAGATTGTTGTTTTTCTTTAAAAAAGAACATCCAACTTGGAGACGGGAAAAAATGTCAAGAAATTCTGCCAGAAAGTTTGAAAATTACATCAAAGTTTTATGTTTTTGTTCTGTTTTAAGCGACTAAATGTCTATCCTTTGCTTTTGTTTCAAATAATGGTAACTAAAATGCCAACAATTAAATAAACTGTAACAAATTTACTGTTTTTTGTGGTCCACTCTGTAGATAGATTTAAACTGATATATATATATATATATATATATATATATATATATATATATTATGAATTAATTGATTTAAAATATGTTTTTTTTCGCATGTATATAAATAAAAAGAAAGAACAAAGATATAAAATCCGGTGCTCAATGTAAATTTACAGAGCATTAATATTATAAAAATTGATAATGCTCTGTAAATTTACATTGAGCACTATTTTGTAAAAATAAAAATATCTATAAGAACACCGGATTTTATATCTTACTGTTCTTTCTTTATATATTATATATATATATATATATATATATATATATATATATATATATAGAGACAGAGAGAGAGAGAGAGAGATAGAGAGATAGATATGATAGATAGACAGATATATATTGGTGAAACAACAAATACAAGGAACTTTAGATTTAAAATTAACAACATATAAAAACCATTAACTATATATTTTACTACATGAATGAACTAAAAATATTAACAAACATATAAATTTTTTAAACATTTGTTGTTCCAGGATGTCGCAGTTTTCAAATTTTCAACGCGATGTGATTGTTGTTTTTTCGTAAAAACAACAAACTTGAAGACTGAAAAAATGGCAAGAAATTTTGCCAGAGTTCTTCAGTTTGAACACCTAATCTACCATTTGTGTTTTTGTTCTGTTTTAAGCGACTAAAATTCTATCCTTTGATTTGTTTCAAATAACTGTAACTAAAATTCGAACAATTAAATAAACTCTACCAAATTTCATGTTTTTTTTTTGTTTTTTTAGTTTTTGTGGGGCACCTTCTATAAAATCTCCAGCATTTTATTCATTTCATAATATTTAGTCATATTCCTCTCTTGGTAAGTTTGTAATAAATTTGCTAAGTAAGAACTGATTATTTCTTGATAACTAGATTAATCTTTGGTGCCGATCAAATATTCTTTATTCTTGGAGAAGAGTGGGAGAAAGAGAGTAGATGGGGACAAGTATTAGATATGAAAATTCAACCACTACCCACACGGCACGCATACACATCGCCCATCGCATCATAGAGTTTGAGGTATGGTTGGTGACCATAAAAAAGAAAATTCATTCCAAACAGACAAAAGTCCAAAACATCAAGAAAAAGCAATGTCTGTCTGACCGGGCAAAATGTCAAAATTGAAATTATAAGAACCGAGACTCGAAAAAAAATTACACGAAAGCATTTCTACAAAATCATGTCCCTGATTTCTCTCTGTAATTTATTGGTGACAAAGAAGTAAATTCCACTCGAGCAGCTACTCCACTGCTTTGTGGAACAGACCTCCAAGAAGAAGTTTCCCCGATCTTAACCTGTTAAAGTCTAGGGTTAACTGTTATCTTCCTCACTTATCTACATAAAATTTGCCTGTTTCTCCGTACCTCTTTACCTGCTTTGTGGAACCGACACCCAAAATGGTGTTACCCCGATCACGACAATCTTAACCTGTTAAAGGCTACAGTTAACCATTATCTTCCCCATGTATCCGTATAAATTCTGCCTCTTACTTCTGTAATTCTTTACCTTAAGTTGTTCCGTAGTCATGTACAAGGCGAACTTCATTGGAAAAAAATTATGAAATTTTATCCATGTCGGTTATCTTCATCTTATTGGAAACTGGCTTAAATTTCGCAATCAGTACGGACTTTTAAGCTAGCTCCAGCCGAAGGCTAATTGGTTTCTTGCCCAAAACTAAGTGGACTTCTGGTCCAGCTTAGAAAACAGCAATACTAATTTTAAACTCCATGGAACTTCAAGACCTCACTTTAACTCGGATTCGGGCTATAATTCCATTTTCAGCCAAAGGACCAATTTGCGGCGAAACGCCGATTTAAGCTGAAACTCCGATTTGGATCGAAACTCCGATTTGATCCGAAATTCCGATTTGGGCCGAAACTCCGATTTGGGCCGAAATTTTGATTTGAGCCGAAACTCCGATTTGAGCCAAAACTCCGATTTGGGCAGAAATTCCGATTTGGGCCGAAATTCCGATTTGGGCCGAAACTCCGATTTGGGCCGAAATTTTGATTTGAGCCGAAACTCCGATTTGAGCCAAAACTCCGATTTGGGCCGAAATTCGATTTGGGCCAAAACTCCGATTTGCGCTGAAATTCCATTTCAGGCCCAGAATTGAGTTTTTCAAATCACAAAATCTGCAAAACTTGAAAACCTCAGGTCAATAAATGTCTCACTTTAACTCTGATTTCTTGTCATTTTGAAGAAATAAATTTGATTTCGTCAATTCACAAAGTATTGGAGATATTTTAAACTGAATTGAAAACAATTTTTATTTAAATTCACTGTTTTTGTGTTACTTTAAATTTAATATAAATTAAAACTTTTAAAATCGCTAATTTTTTTTTCAGTTATTTTAAAATTTGAATTTTTAACTGTTCCCTACTCATCCAGACACAAATCCCAATGCTGGATGTTCAAGCACCAGATGAAGGGCAGATTTCCAATCCCAGAATCATTCTGATTCCAAAAAGGTGTAATATGTCTATGTAGAGCCAGTGAGGCCCAAGTTAGAAGGATTTCAGACGTGCGGACGGACAGACAGAATTTGTCCTTTAATTATATAGAAGAAGGCTGCTAAATAAATAAACTTAAAATGTTCTTTTCATGTTTATTAACAATATTTAAAATAGAGAATTATATTCGTAAGAAAAGAGATACAGAAAATGTATATACAAGGTCAGAACAAAAGAAGTATCGGGTCTGGTTTATAAAACGAAAACTACAGCACATATAAATTCGATATATAATCTCCTTCGAAGTGGCCCCCCCTTCTGAAGCGTCACAATTTATCCAGCGCCATTTCTTTTTATGGAAGCATTCTTGGAGCTCCCTTTTTTTTTTTTTTTTTTTTTTTTTTTTTTGTAATAGCGAGCAGCTGCCTCGTTGTATTCTTTTGGATTTCCTAGGCGGATTCAAATCTTGTTCCTTTCAAGTTGGTTTTGATTTTTGAAGGGGTAAAAAGACGAAAGGCGTGACATCTAGGAAATATGGTGGTTGCCGAACGTGGAGAATGTTGTACTTGGCCCAAAACTGCTGGACAAGTCGTGGTCACTGATGGAAACTCTGATGGTGCAGTGAGCCAAACACACACTACACACTTTCCTTCCGCGTACTGCTATAATCAACAGTAGTAAGAACGTTATAAGTTAGTGGTTATACGTAACAGATTTCAAGGTCGATCTATGTGAAGCGGTTTTACTGGGCGTACCATACCTCCGTTACCATAGCAACATTCCTTTTACGTTTTGATCTGACATCGTATATATATGTCATGAAACTTCATCAATAAGTTTATTTTCATGAATTTATTAAAAACTTTAGGAGTTTTAATATTTGGAGAAAAAAGTGGGTATTTTTGTACATCAGATATTTCTTCTTTTATTTGCCGTGTCCCTTTAGGATCTAGACGATCAAGTTCTTCACCATTTTCTATCTTATTTATGCAATTAATTAATATTTTCATTGTTTTCCTTTATCTCCACTTGCCTTCAGAATATCCTCCGTGTGTCAAATTCTCTAAGCCATATGTCTTCATTATTAGTCTTAGAATTTTCAGCTCTTGCCTTCTGATCTTTATCGGTTATTTCACGTTGAAACACTTGATTTCTTCCGATCCCCAAAGTTATCCAACATCGAGCCTGATCAGTGCCTCATAATTAGAAATCAGAGAACCGATTTCGAATTCCAGTAAGGTACGTTATATTCACTTACGGGGAAATACCATCGAGAGAGGTATGAATCTTTTCTTCCTTCAGCTATGGATCAAATAGTAGGACTTGCATGAGTAGAATCATAATTATCCCCTTCCCTTCCACAAATTCTTACAATCTAAAAATATTTTCTGGCTTTAAGTAACCTACAAAGGTTGATAAACCGTAAAAAAATGAATCATTCAACCAATTCTTATCTCTATCAAAAGTGCCCTTGTTTTCCAGTTTTCTTCAACACATCTTTTTTGTCCACATGCCTCGTCAATAGTATGCTCAGCATCCTTCTGTAGAACTACATTTCTGTTGCTTCAGTTCTCCTGTCCAACTGTGAGAAAATTATCCATTTTTCACTGCCATATAAGAAGATTGTAGCGGTTCAGCACTATTTTGTTTGGTTTTAATGATCATTTTCCTGTTTCTTATAACATTACTTTGCCTTTCGAAGGCTTCTTTGGCTATAAAGTTTTGTTTATAGCATTTCTATATATGTGTGTATATAGATATTGAGAGGTCGATATATTGATGTGTGTATATGTCTATTCACACAAACTTCTATATAGTGACAATTTACATAAAAGAAAGATAGAAAAAAGAAGGAAGAAAGGAAAGAGAGAAATGGTTAGAGATACAACCAAGCATTGATTCAAATGTTTTTAAAAGAACGAGGGAAAGAAGAAGAAGAAGAAGAAGAAGAAGAAGAAGAGTGAGTATGAGAAAATCTGAATGAGTATTAAATGAAAATTGAAAATAGAATTAATTAGGAACTATAAAGAATTTAGAAAAATAAAACTGATAGGAAAATGAATGAAAAAAAAAACAGAAAGATAAATAAAGAAAAAAAACAATATAGAAAGGAAGGAAGGAAGGAAGGAAGGAAGGAAGGAAGGAAGGAAGGAAGGAAGGAAGGAAAAGCATTGAAATTTCGAAACAAAGGAAGGAAGGAAAGAAGGAAAGATAGAAGGAAGGAAGGAAGAGGAAGGAAGGAAGGAAAGAAGGAAGGAAGGAAGGAAAGAAAGGAGGAAGGAAAGAAGGAAAGAAATGCAGAGAAATTTCGAAACAAATGAAGGAAGGAAGGAAGGAAGGAAGGAAGGAAGGAAGAAAGGAAGGAAGGAAGAAAATCAGAGAAATTTTGAAACAAATGAAGGAAGGAAGGAAGGAAAGAAGGAAGGAATGAAAGAAAGGATGAAGAAAGGAAAAGCAGAGAAATTTCGAAACAAAGGAAGGAAAGAAGGAATGATGGAAGGAAGGAAGGAAAGAATCCAATAAGGCAGAAAGAAAGAAAGAAAGAAAGAAAGAAAGAAAGAAAAACAGAGAAATATCGAAACAAATATGGCAGACAGAGAAAAAGGAAGAAATTAAGGTCGAAACCAATACACTAAATAGCGTCCTGGGTAAGACGTTAAACTACATCCGCGTTCTCGGTAAGACGTTAAACTACGTCCAGCAGCAAGGCCTTTGATCAGGAGGTTTTGAGGTGCGTGGAACAACCTCTTAATTGCTGGTGTTCACAGGTCCATCCTGACCCGGGGTGGTAGCACCTGTTAGGGGTTCCAGCTATGGGCAAATAGTTAACTATTACCAGCAATACTTTTTTGAAAAAATAATTATTACCAGCAATACAATTTCGAAGGAAATATATTACCAAAAACAGTTTTTAACAAAACAAAATATTATCAGCAATAATAATTTTTGTCAGCATTAAATAACCCATTGAGGTTGATATACCGTCAAACAAAATAAACCAAACCAATCTAAACCAAAGAATAGATATTCTATTCATACGAATCTATCCTAAAAATGTTGTCGGCATTACATAACCCATTGATGTTGATATACCGTAAAACAAAATAAACCAAACCAATCTAAACCAAAGAATAGATATTCTATTCATACGAATCTATCCTAAAAATGTTGTCGGCATTAAATAAAAACAAAATAAACCAAATAAACAATACACTAAATAAAAAGAATGAAAGAATTATAGCATACAATAAGGCATAAAGAAAGAAAGAAAGCAAGAAAGAAAGCAAGAAAGAAAGAAAGAGAAAGGAAAGAAAGATTGAAACAAATCTGGCAGGTATAGAAAAGGAATAAATCCAAGTCGAAGCGAATAAATCAAATAAAAAGAAGAAAGAATGATCGAATCTATGAAGGCAGACATAAATGAAAGGAAGAAAGATCTTAACGAATGAACAAAATGAAACAATGAAATTTATACTTTAGTTTCATTTATCTCCGACCAAAGGTGAGAAGACGTTGCATGGAAATATTACAGTGGCTGATCGGAATACAGCTGCTCATTGGGCAGTTTTTAAACAAGAACTTATTCCGGGTGTGTTGAATGGCCAGCAATGTTAGCTCAGTGGCTACTCCTCAGAGAAACACTGGTAATTGTTCCGGCCGAGCTGTGGTCACGCTGCGGTCAATAGCGTTGTCATAGCAAAATCGTTGGCTATTATCTCCTTTTGGTCCTTGTGGTCAGTTGGTTTGGTAAATAACTGTGACCTCCGTCCATTTACACCCGAACCACTCTTGGCCATAGTCAGTCCTCGACCCAAACCTATCACCTATCCACGTACCAGCCTGTAAAAGATTGCTAATAGATGACCATTGGCCGAAGCGGTAAGAGTCTGTCCGTAGTGCCAGGGAAGACCAAATTTTAAATTTTCCCTTCATTCCCCAATGTTACTCACTTTCCGAGTTATTCAGACTTTATCAAGGAACCTCCTCTACCTCTCCACTTCGCCTCCTCCTCTGTCTTCTTCTTCTTCTTTAGTCGCCCTCTTCTTCTTCTTCTTCTTCTTCTTAGTCGCCCTCTTCTTCTTCTTCTTCTTCTTCTTCTTCTTCTTCTTCTTTTTCTTCTTCTTCTTCTTCTATTCCGTTTTCTTCCACGTTTTTTTCCGCTTTCATTTTCTTCAGATATTCTTCTCGTTTTTCTTCATGGAATTTTCTTTTCTTCTTCTTCTTCTTCTTCTTCTTTAGTCGATCTCGTCTTCTTTTTTTCTTCTCCTCCTTCTCCTCTTCCTCTTATTTAGTCGATCGCATCATCATCACCATCATCATCATCTTTTTCCCGTTTTCTTCCACGTTTTTTTCTTCTTTCATTTTTCTTCTTCAGGTTTTCTTCTTCTTCCCATTTTCCTTCATGGTTTTTGCTATTCTTCTTTCATTCTCCTTCACCTCATTTTCATCTTCTTTGCTTCTTTCGATTTCCGGTTTTTCCTCTTCCTCTGAAATCAAACTCCTCCTCTCCAATCACGATTTCTTCTTCTTTTTGAAACTTTTTTTCTTTTTCCCATTAAACTTTAACCTTTGGCCATCCACCCCAATTTCGTTGGCTGACCTCTGCGCCTTCTTCAGTCCGCCATCATACTTTTACATTCCTCCGGTTACCTCCCTTCCTCTATTTGACAATCCCACCGTGCCCCGCGTCCGCGCTTGGCCAGTCTGTCCAGGCTTCATTCATACAATCATTCATTCAGTCACTAACCCATTCATTCATTTTCTTATCTGCCGCTTGATAAAGTCCAACGAGACATGACACTGGCGACACCACCCTCTTCGACAGGCCCCCAGGGTGGGTAATGCTAGGGCTTTCCCCCCCAACTCACACAAGCTGGATTCATCTACATAATTCTAGAAAAGCAATCGTGAAGCAATTACGACAACATGGGAATAAAATGGGCAAAGATTTGTGAAACGGTGTTCAGTAAGGGAGATGAAGATGAAGATGTTGGAGCTTGGGTGCTGAAAAGGGTTAGGGATAGATTAGATCTATCTATCTATCTATCTAGCTAGCTAGCTAGCTAGCTACTTCTGTCTATTCATATCTATGTATGTATCTATCTAATTCGGTCTATCTATCTCTATCTTTCACAGTCTCTTCCTCTATCTATCTATCTATCTATCTATCTATCTATCTATCTATCTATCTATCTACTTCGGTCTATTCATATCTATCTATCTATCTATCTATCTATCTATCTCTCTTCCTATCTATCTATCTATCTATTCATCTATCTATCTTCCTAGTCTCTTCTATCTATCTATCTATCTATCTATCTATCTATCTATCTATCTATCTATCTATCTCTACCTGCCTATCAATTTCGGTCTTTTCCTATCTAATTATCTATCTACTATTCATATCTATCTACTTATTCTATACTCACACACGCGCACAGATAGATAGATAGATAGATAGATAGATAGATAGATAGATAAGTGTGTAATGATATACGTAGGAAATGGGCCAATTTAATGTGGTGTAATGGTTAGAAAACTTGTCTCGCCAGATCAATTACGACTGAATAGTGGGTTCGTTCGGTGCTCCAAACCACAGTCGCTGCGTACTACCTCGACGCCCCCGACGGGCATGTGGCAAGCATGATTGGGGGCCAACGGCAGTGCTCTGCAACCCTCCCTATTTTAACAACTTTTTCCACTTACATATAAATACGTACAAATGAAACGAGGCAAAACTGAATATTAATTTCAGGGTTCACTTTTTGCGTCCAAATCCGTACATTTTTTTGCCTATGGAATGTCTCGAAAAAAAAAAAAAAACATTATATGAAATACACAATTTGTTATCCATAATGGTGAATGCGTTAAAACAATGAACATTTTAACAAGAAAAATCTCAAGTTGAGGTTAAAAATTACTGAAAACGTTGTTGATTTATTTAAGATGGAATGATCTATTATGACATGACTAAAATTTCTATTTAGATACATTGGATTAATTTTCAGTTTTTCTAATTGAATTGTTCACCTATATCGCATATGATCCATTATTGTACATAATAAGTTTACAATAAAATATATATTTTATATGAATACTAGCTTATGAAAATTAAGATGCAGTAGAGTGGGGGGGCTGTCATTCAGCTGGACTGTGTCATAGATTAGAGGGGCTGTTTCTTAAAGTAGTAGGTACAAGGCCCTTGTACCGGTCCTGATCCATACTTGCCACATTTCAGCTACGCTTAATAAATTGCTGTAAAGACAATAGTAGCGTAAAGGGAAAATAAAATAAATTCATTTGTTTATTGCAATTTTTAATTGAAAATTCATTGAAAAGTAGAAAATATGCCTTTCAGTGAACATAGATCTTCAAAACTTCAAACGCAATGTCAATCACTATTTACATTATTCGGACTATTGTCCTTATCTTTTTTGGGATATTTATCTCAACGTTTCGGCCATTGTACGCTCCGACCTTCTTCAGGTGGTTGGACTGTCAAAACTGAACCTTTTATTTCGCTCGCTGGAGTAGACTGTTCTAATTCTAGGTACCATGCTTAATGGATGTCAGTTATCAGTTATCTCCTGTTAATTCCCCTCTCCAAGTTCTCCCCCGCCTTAACCACATACTCAGATGTCCTCAAGGATATATGGCACATTGGATAAAGGCGTTAGTAAGATCCAGTGACAGGACCCAAAGAGTGTGAGTTCAATACCTGGTTAAGGCGGGGGAGAACTTGGAGAGGGGAATTAATAAATATGGCTACAAAGATGAGGACAATAGTCCGAATAATGTAAATAGTGTGCATAATACCTCATCTCAGAAATATAGACAGATACAAAAGATGAGGACAATAGTCCGGAAATAATCCGAATAATGTAAATAGTGTGCATAATACCTCATCTCAGAAATATAGTCAGATACTGAAAGGCCGAAAAGTTGTAATAAATATGGCGACAAAGATGAGGACAATAGTCCGAATAATGTAAATAGTGTGCATAATACCTCATCTCAGAAATATAGACAGATGCAATGTCAATCGCTATCTTGCTTCCTCATTTTTATTCTCGCTCCTTAATAATGTTTCTCTTTTTCTTTATTCATTCACACTCTGTCACTATTGTGCCTTGGTCGCTTTATTGTCTTGCTAAGGGTGAAATGATTAAGACATTATTTAGAGAGTAATGGAAGCAAACAGCAAAGTATTGATTACAAGCTATATATATATATATATATATATATATATATATATATATATATATATATATATATTTCAATTAAAAGGTGCAAATATAATTTATAAATTCATGAATCATTCATACAAAAAACAAATATAGAGGTTAATGAATTAAATGGCGAGAATACATCATCGCAAACAATATAAATAAGATACATCAACCCCGAACCTGTATATGAATGATATGATCCCCGTTTATAAATTCCAGTTGCATAAAGTCTTTTTAATTTTTTACAAGCTTTCTCTATTTTCGTTGTCCTCTTATTACTGAGAAGTAAAAACAAGAACAAAATCTATTTCCATATCTGAGGATGTCTGTAGGAACAGATGAAAGCTTGTAAAAATTAAAAGACCTTATGCAACTGGAATTTATGAACAGGGATCATATCATTCATATACAGGTTCGGGGTTGGTGTATCTTATTTATATTGTTTGCGATGATGTATTCTCGCCATTTAATTCATTAACCTCTATATTTGTTTTTTGTATGAATGATTCATGAATTTATATATATATATATATATATATATATATATATATATATATATATATATATTAATGTATGGCTTGTAATCAATACTTTGCTGTTTGGTTCCATTACTCTCTAAATAATGTCTACTCTCTAAATAATGTATATATTCGCCATTATTGCGACAAAGCAATCAATCAATCTACCCCTATTCTATGGTACCTAGAATTTATCAATTTAAGCGCAGTACGAGGTCTCATCAATTCACAGTTAATTAGGTAAGATGTAACCATATGTCCTATGCTAAACGTTTCTTTTCTCGCACTTATTGCTTGTGGAATTCCCTTTCGGCTCCATGCTTTCTATTTAACTTTGAACTTTAAAAATCTTAATGCAATGTCAATCTCGTGCTGCTGTCATCTAGATTCCTCTTCTTTTATTTTTCTTAATCCTTAATAATGTTTCTCTTTTTTATTTATTCTTTCAGACTCAGTAGGCCTTTGTGTCTTAGCGCCTTGCTTGGGGTGAAATGATTTCGGAGGTTAAATTATTCATTAAATTGTTTTATCAAAATACGTAACTATTATAGTCTTACAGCGATTAGTTACAGACGGCAATAGTGAATGTAAGAAATGCTTCCGTAAAACAAAATAACCCACATTTTTCCCCATTTATTGAATTGGTGCATAATTATCAGGCGTTCTTAAACAATATTATGAAAAAAGGAACATAACAATTCAACAGCAACGTTTTTAAATTCGTACGGTGGAGTAATGGATAGCATCTCGGATTGAGGAATCGGAGAGCCGAGTTCGAATTCCAGTCTAATCTATTACATTAACTTAGGAAGAGTATGAATCCTTCTCTTCTCCGTCCCAGCTATGGGTAAATATTAGGACACGGAAGGCATGGTGGAGTAATAGATACCGGCTCGGACTGAGGAATTGGAGTGCCGGGTTCGAATTCCAGTCGTATCTATTACATTCACTTACGTGCTAATCCCTTTAGGAAAGGTATAAATTCTCAGGACAGACCAGATTTTACAGACTTCGATGGCAACTGGTCTACCGCAAAAAGAAATGACAACCTACTGCGGGAAAAATCTGCCTCGTCAGTCATGTATCGAAAGATACATGATCGCCCAAGCGTGTATCACGCATGGCACATAACTGATTAAATTGTTTATATGAATATAACACATATACACACAAGGTTTTAAAGAAGAAAAATAACATATTAGATAGGCCAAAATAAATGTACAGATAAATTTGTTCATAATCCCCACCTCTCTCTGACTTTCGCTCACTCTCTCTCTCTCTCTCTCTCTCTCTCTACATATATATATATATATATATATATATATAGTGAGAGAGAGAGAGAAAGAAAGAGAATGTGAGGGAGAGATTATCAAAAAATATATATTAGGAAAGACGAAATGAAAACTTATCTTAGCCGACGAGTTTCGTCCGTCCTGTGAAGGATTTTACCATGGCAAGTGACGATTTTATCGCAGTTAAAATAAGATTGACATTGTAATTTACTCCTGAAGATGACCTTATAAAAGGTCGAAATGACTTTGGTTAAACTAAACTGTATCCCCTGATTAATTTTAACATTAAGAAACTGATTAGACAAATGGAAAGTACCAGTATAAAAATAAGTAAACACAATATGACGATATTATTCAATGAAATATGTTTGAATGAAGATATGCTGCCTATATAAATATATATATATATATATATATATATATATATATATATATATAGGCAGCATATCTTCATATATATATATAGAGAGAGAGGCGAGAGAGAGTGAGAGAGTGAGGAAGAGTTTTATATATATATATATATATATATATATATATATATATATATATATATAGGCACCATATCTTCATTCAAACATGTTTTATTGAATAATATAGACATATTGCGTCTATTTATTTTTATTCTGATATTTTCAGTTGTCTAATCAGTTTATTGATATTAAAATAAAATCGATCAAGTGATATACCATAGTTTTCTTTTTAACCCAAGTACTGCACTTGCTGTGTTAAAATCTCTCAGAGTATGAAACGGGTCGGCTAAGAAACATAACAATTCTACAATAACATGTTTAAATGATTATTCCGGAGCGTATGATTATCGACACGCATTTTTATAAACTGAAAATAAATTAATATTTTTAAAAAATGTACACAAAACACCAATCTTTATTAACAAATAATTTCCTTATAAAAAACGCCTGATAATTATGCACCAACCCAGTATATATTTTCAGTTAAAGAATTTATCCTGGGTTTACTGAGGACATACCATTGAGGGCTGTATAAGAAAAACATTTACCGATGATATATATATATATATATATATATATATATATATATATATGTGTGTGTGTGTGTGTGTGTGAGTGTTAGTGTGTGTGTGCGTATGTACATGTTTGTTGTGAAGGTTGGTCATTGAAATACTTATCGTGTGTGTATGTGCGTGTGCTAGTATATGTGTTTGTGTGTGTGAACACACGCAGGTGGTTATACGCGTGTTTGTGTGTGTGTGTGTCTCAGCACGCAGATCATGCTTTTTATGGCCTTGAAAATTGATAGCTGCAAGATATACTTGTCTACCCGGGTGGTTAATTGTCGATTAACACGAAACACGAAAATGAATATATAAAAAAATAAATAAATGCATGCAGAAGCGAATAAATGAAACAAAAAGGGAATGTATCATATACACAAATACATACAAAAAGATGAATATATACATACACGCACGTACGAATATATGTGTGTGAGCGTGTGTGTGTTCGTACAAGTGTTTTCATTTCTGGTCACAAATTGATTAGAAACTTTCCAAAAGTTCTGCATGTTTGAACGATTTCGATTATTCTTTTAGCCATTATCAAGGGTGATTTTTATCTTTTTATATTTACGCTAATTTCCCATGTATAAAACACCTTCACCCATAATACGAACCCCATAAAATAGTACTGAAAGTGTGGGAAAATGCTTCTACTCACGCATAATACGCATCCTTGTTCCTCTCCAATTTCATTACGGCCAGCATTTACTACTCTTGTTAAAAATGGCTTTAAACATAGAATTATATTATTCTAATTTAGTTTCATGACAATTCTTACTTTATTTCGCGGTAATTTTTTAAAGATTTTTGTAGTTGGGCAAAACACGCGTCTCTGATATTGCTTATTTTTTTTTTTTAGAAAAATGCATATTATACATGGGGAATTACGGTATATGAGACTCATTTATATATTTAAAATTTAAAAAGAAAGTGTTACCTCTTTTCCGAAAGTTAGAGAGGTAACACTTTATTCAAAATTTCTTTTACCATTTATTTACCATCGCCTGAAGATGTCCAATCATAGCATTGCAACGTGAAAGGTTTTTGTGTAACGATTTAATTTTTATATATATATATATATATATATATATATATATATATATATATATATATATATATATATATATATATATATATATATATATATATATATATATATATATATATATATATATATATATATATATATATATATATATATATATATATATATTTACTATGATTACTTACCATTGCCTGAAAAAGTATAATCATAGTTTTGAAACATGAAAGCTTTCAACATATAATCTCTTATAATGAAAACAATAATGATAATATATTGCTCTACTTTGTATTGAGCACTTTTTAAAGAGTAAATGCTACCAACAGTGGACTCTTAATCCTTCTGTTCTTTCTCTGATTTTGATATATATATAATATGATTTCTTCGTCACATAAGAAAACCTCAAGCACTGTTTTTTAAAAATGAAAACAAAAATACTAAAGAACTTCGGATTATTTACCTAACGTCTGCACACACACACACACATACATACATATGCACGTATGCGTACTTGAACATATATGTCTCTGTAATTGCAGCCATATAAATCCAACGCCCGTTTCTCTTACCTGCACACCTGATTACCTATGACCTGTCGTAAAGTAACCGTACGCTGTTTATTGCCGTAATAGGACACCATGTCCATTGTTCTGACCACCATTACAAGCGAGGTGTTTCCATCACGCTGTCGACTTTGTATAGTCTCACCTCTTCCCTCAGGTCCGTCAGCTATCGGCCCATATCGACTCCCTGTCCAGCTATTCGCCCATAAAAGTCAAAACATTTAAAAGAAAGCGTTGCTAGCAAATAAAATGATAGCAGTTCTATTAAAATAACCTTGTAAAGTATGTCCTTTTTTCTGTCTGTTAAAGAAATTTTCAAGTTTAGATTTTGTACTTGTTCTGACAAACAAATGGCCCCATGTCATTAAGATTAATGTTTGAACAAATAAAAGGACACATAGCAAAAAGAAAAAAAAAAGAAAAATTAGAAATAAAAATAAAAGAAAAAAAAATGTTGGAGAATTTATTCGAATCGAAGGGTACTTCTTTGTGGGTATTTGTATGCTATTGATTAAATATGTAAATATCTACCTATTTATCGATTTTAGTATAGATCTATCTATCTATCTATCTATCTATCTATCTGTCTGTCTGTCTATTTATTTCACTCTGCGCATATCTATTTCACTCTTCATATCTATCTCTGTCTATTCATATCTATCTATCTATCTATCTATCTATCTATCTATCTATCTATCTATCTATCTATCTATTTCTGTTCATATCTACCTCAGTTTGTTCATATCTATCTATCTATCTATCTATCTATCTATCTATCTATCTATCTATCTATCTATCTATCTGAAAAGTTCATAGGGTGACGAAGATACTCATATGGAATGCAACCAAATTTGCTTTATTTTTCAATATAACCCTCCCCTTTGAGGTCCGCACGCTTCTTCGGTGTTGCAAGTACTTGGATCCCATTAGTTAAGAAGTTTCATCATGTTGTCAAAAAAAAAAAAAAAAAGAAATCACGGGAAAATATGGCATTATCCTCACCGCGATACAGTTTTCCAACCAAGTGTGTTTTTTTATATTGGAGAACAGATGATAGTCAGCTGAGTTCAAATCAGGAGAATAGGTTCAAAGCCCGAGTTACGCACAGACTTGTTTGCTGGAGCATTGCCCTGATTAAACAAGACCCATTTCATCACAGTATTTGATCTTGATAGCCTTTCGTAACTGACTAAGCAAGTACTCTCCATTGATGGTGTGGCCCTTTTGACGGTAGTCAATAAACACAATGCCTTTTGTATTAAAAAAAAAAAAACTGGTCATCAACTTCCCTGCAGATGAAATGACTTTGGCCCTGTTTGTAACAGGCGAGGAGGAGTGTTTCCACGGCATGGATTGTCTCTGTCTGTTGAAGTGATGAACATCACAATCATCCTGGGTTAGTTAACGTTTAACTAAACCATCTAGATCTTCCTCACTGCCAGATTTCCCTGTGAGGTAATTAGTACGGTGCACTTTTGATCAGGCGTCAGGACGTTGAACCCACCGAGCATGAAACCTTTGTCATGCCAAGTTCATTGTGCAGAATATACTAAACAATCTCTCGCGATATGCTAATAGAATTGGCTATTTGAGTTATAGTCATCTGGTGATGGATGAGAGACAAGTCATTGTTTTCCTCGGAGGTGGCAGTTGCAGGATCCCCAAACCTTAGGTCATCTTCAAGACTCTTCCTTCCCCTCCGAAATTCAGCTGCACAATTTTGGACTCTTGATAAACTGTAGTAAACATGTCAGCATGAATATCCTTGGGGTCTAAACCTTCTGCCGAAAGTAGATGACGACACCAGGCTACCAAATTTTGTCCATTTTCAACAGAACTCGCTACGAGTTACTTTTGATGTCTTCTCTGAAGAGTCAAATATTGAAAATAAGCAATGCATTAACTAATAACCAGGATTGGAATTAATGCATGAAATATCTCACAATTCGAGCATCATTCGTTCATTGCCAGCCTGAAAAACTATTTTATTTTAAGACACCCACACACATACGCAAACACACAAGAAGCACACACGCACATTCTGACTCGAAGACTATTTAACGAAAGCGAAACGCGTAGTCTATAAAAGTGTTTTCCACTTACTCTAATATATGTATATATCCCATTCTATTTCCTTCTTTCTTTCTTTCTTTCTTTCTTTCTTTCTTTCTTTCTTTCTTTCTTTCTTTCTTTCTAATTGTCTTCCAAAGTCTGATGTAATAAAAATATATAGGATTCAAAATTAAAAAAATAAAGGCCGTTAATTCTCTGTGCCGTTATGTGTGTATTTATGTAAGTGTATGTACATATCTATCTATTTATTAAAGACATTTTATTATGTTTAACGTTGTTATTTTATAGATACAAGTATTTAAGCAAATGCTCTGTTTATGTACATTTATCTGAATGTCTATCTATCTATCTTCTATCTATCTATCTATCTATCTATCTATCTATCTATCTCTTTATATATATATATATATATATATATATATATATATATATATATATATATATATATATATAAATCCCAAAGAGCCAAAAAAGCCTACCTAGGTTTCACATAAACGGATCTTCAGGGTGAGGTTTTCCTGAATCTTTAGGATTTATTTTAGTTATTCCCTCTCTACTTACCGTATTGAGCACTCTACATTTTAGTTTTACTACTCGCTTGGGATTTTTTTTTCTTTGGACTAAAGACTTAAGGCACTGGACGATTTATTTCGCCCTGTTCAAATGTTTTTAGTTATTTTTTTATTTATTTCCAATCTTTTCCTCCGGTACCGATTGGTTTGACATATCTACAAGCTGAGCTATCTGAGGTTATTACTGTGACTATTATATATATATATATATATATATATATATATATATTTTTTTTTTTTTTTTTTTTCTGTAGTTTTACTGCTACCAGCAAGCAGAAGTATTTCTTCTCCCGATGATGGCCATTTTGTCAGAAACTAGTCGAGGAATCTAAATGAAATAATAAAAAAAAAAAACGAAAGAATATTAATCTACAACCCAGTGTGGCTGAAGATTTCAATTTTTAATATTTTTTTATTGTTCAAAAAAATATATATATATATATATATATATATATATATATATATATATTAAAATGGACAAAGTCTGATAATTTATTTATTAAAGACAATTTCTATGTTTAACGTTCTTTTTATAGATACAAGTATTTAAGTAAATGCTCTGTTTATAATAAACAGTATTAAATAACATTTACTGGCAGAATGTCCGAGAAATTTCTTAAATACTTGTATCTTTAAAAAGAACGTTAAACATAAAAATGTCTTTAATATATATATATATATATATATATATATATATATATATATATATATATATATATATATCAGTATGTCCATCATCCTGACTATCTATGGGCGTTAGTTTATTTGGACATGTATGGCTCATTTCTCTTTTTTGTAGACCTATATCATCCAATCTAAGTGTCTATATAAACATACAGACTGTTACTAATTGCTAAGAGTTTAGACAAAGAAATTCTAAGCACTGAGATCAAAAGTATCCCCGTCAGAGAACGAGAAAAATGATACGCAGAGAGAAAAATTTACGACAGACAAAAATCAATGAGATAAAATATGTACTTGAAACAGGCACATTTATTGCCCTCAGCGAAAGAAACATGCTTGGCCTAGAGGAATAGACTGACTAAGTGCCATTGAAACAGTGGCGTGTCGATCTTGAAGTAACCAACCAATCTACCTATTCATATCAATCTAACTATTTATCTACCTCAGTCAATTAATATCTATCTATCTATCTATCTATATATGTATATACATATATATATATATATATATATATATATATTTAGTTTATGAAAAACTAGGTAATCCGTATGGGTAGACCCAAGGACGATAATATTCAGAGAGCTCAATGTAAATCCAGAGCAAATAATTTAAATAAAAACAGACCACTTTAATGGTCCATGTAATAAATTATTTCCCCACCCTTAGCCCTATATATATATATATATATATATATATATATATATATATATATACGATAATCCTAAAAGCCATGCAAACATACCTAGGTTTCACCTATACGGATCTTCAGGGTAAAGCCGACTGAAAAGGAAAATTATTGAACAGTATTTATTGCTGAAACCAAAATTGACCATGACCACGTGACCACGTGACAAAAAAAAAGTAGATAACTGACATCCATTAAACATGGTATGTGAAACTAGAACCTGAAGAAGGCCGGGTCGTACAACGGCTGAAACGTTGTCATAAATATGGCGACAAAGATGAGGAAAATAGTCCGAATAATGTAAATGGTGTCTATTCATATCTATCTATCTATAACGCAGTGTCTCGGTATCTATTCATATCTATCTATCTTGCTATATATATATATATATATATATATATATATATATATATATATATATATATATATATATATATATCGGAGTATTTTCATATGTATCTATCTATTTATCTATCTATTTCTGTATATCCATCGTCCAATCTATCTCTGAAACAGACAAATCTATTGCCCTTAGCGAGAGAAGCATGTTTGGCCATGAGGAATAGACTAATGAACTGCCGTCAGTCGATTTTGAAGTAAGCAACATTTATTAATTAATTGTTGCTAGTGAGTTTGAAGAGAGTATATGTAAATCAAAATAGAATGTATTTTCAGTTCTTAATTTGAAATTCTAAAAAATGCACACTATTTATGACTGTTGATGCACTAGATTTTGTAAGAAAAAAAAGAAAAAAAAAAGGAAAGAAAAGAAAACATCTTTCGTTATTTGCTTACTAGGTTGAAAATTTATTCACAAGAACCGATACTTGTAGAATCGCCTCACGCTTGGGTGCCTTTTCGAAAAACCCAAATTTTTTATAATGTATGGTAAAGCATTACGTATCCTTCATAAACTCATAATACTCATACATTCATATCATACCCTTCATTCATGAACAATCTACCTTGACTGGCACTTGAAACTTGTTGGACATTAATAGAAAATAGGAAATGTGGATACTAACAAACGAATGTAGACATTGAACATGAAACATCAGCGATGGGTTGAAACGGTAGAGTGTGATATGTTTGGCGAGATCTTTCTAAATTAAACTTGATACAAATGATTTTCACTGCTGCCTTGTTAATTATTACAAAATGCTGTAGCCATGTTGCATAAAAACTACAGTATGTATCTATCTATGTCAGTCTCTACATTTCTATCTGTAGCTGTCCATTTCAACCTACTCATATCTATCTATTTATATCTCCCAATCTATTCACATTGCCATATATGTATATCTCTCTATATATCTCACTCTCTTCATGGCTGTATACATGTCTGTCTGATTCTATCTATCTATTTATCTATCTATCTATCTCATATATATATATATATATATATATATATATATATATATATATATATATATATGTGTGTGTGTGTGTGTGTGTGTGTGTGTGTGAAAAGTGTATATAAATATAAATAAATATATATATGTATAATTATTTATATATTATATACAGTACTTATTAAAAGCGCTCAATATCAGAGATAGAGCTAACATATTTGGTTGGATAGATGTGAGTTTGTGACCTGGGTTTGCTTGCTATCGCTAAAGCGTGAAACCCAGGGTCACAAACTCACATCTATCCAACCATATATAATAATAATAATCGACTCTCTATTCTGCTATTCCTCAAGCCAAGCCGCTATCCATTACTCCACCGTGCCTCTCTGCCCCCCTCTCTCTCTCTATCTATCTATCTATCTATATATATATATATATATATATTCACTTTTATATACATATATGTATATATCAAGTATGTAGTGCAGTTCAATTTGCATTACATGAATCATTCATACAAAATACAGATATAGAAGTAAATGATTTAAATTTGTTTGCGAAGATGTATTCTCGCCATTTAAATCATTAACTTCTATGTCTGTTTTTTGTATGAATGATTCATCTAATATATGTATATATATATATACATATTTCAGTCTCTTCATATGTATTTATCCTTCTATGATAAATATATATATATATATATATATATATATATATATATTTATGTATTTAAGTCTATCTATCTATCTATCTATCTATCTATCTCACCCTAATCATATCTATTTATTGGTTTTTGCCTTGATCTCACTCGTTCTATTTACAAACCACGTGACTGAACCGGTGGAATGCCCATCAGAGGAGGTCCTGCATGTGTAACGTTCCTAAACATTTTGACGGCCCAAAAGAAACACAGGTAAACAATATACCGGAGCCTCCTTGTCTGCATTGCTTTCCTCCTTTCCATTTTCGTTTGTTTGCTTCGTTCTTCAAATTCCAAGACATATTTCTCTCCTGGTACGGATCGCAGTTTGGCAAATACACGCATTTACACCAACACTTACTTGCTCTTCCTTACTTTTCTCTCTCCGTACTTCTTTATCTCTCTCTCTCTCTCTCACACACACACACTCTTGCGCATTGTAAAGAATTCATATACCTATACACGAATCAATATTGTTCCAAAAGCTAAGTCACTCACACATATGCACGTAAACCAAAGGAAAATAACAACTCAAATACGTGTACCAACTAAAAATAACATTTATCGCCATAAGTAATAATGGATAAAAAAAAAAAAAAAAAAAAAGAAGCTAACAGTTTTAGATTAGTAGAAGTCCTTTACCGGAGATGTTTCTTCATGGACAGACTGGTAAGCGGTATGTTTTGGTTAAAAATGGCGTTTCCCTGACAGAAAACAGAAAAAAAAAAAAAAACTTTTGCATGTTCTATTCCCATTGCATTTTGGTTTAGTTTGGTTTGCTTTATGGCATGTCAACCAAAAAGGGTTGTTTAATGCCAATTTGTTTTAAATATATATATATATATATATATATATATATATATATATATATATATATATAAAAGAAAGACATTCGGATTAGTAACACAAAAACAGAGAATGTCTCATATCGAGAATATTTAACATTGAAAAACATAAGGAAAAAAAATTAATTATTTTTAATAATATGTGGAAATCTTCGCTTTTACCTGAAGACGAGCACGAGACCAGAAACACATGTAGTAAAATTATGGAAAATAAAGCATAATATATTTTTCTAAAAAATACCACATTACAACCAAAAACGTTTGCGGCACCTCTTTCTCTTTTTTTAATATACATACTTTTCTCTCGTTGGAACCACTACAACCTCTTTTCTTTCATATATATATATATATATATATATATATATATATATATATATATATATATTTTTAAAAATATGATTCCAACGCTACATAAGAGTTCTCATGTTTCAAAACAAGAGCCGAAAACTTCAAGTTCATTCCTATTTTCTATATATTTACACACACACACACACACACATATGATTAAAAAGTATTCTTTGTATATATATATATATATATATATATATATATATATGATTAAAAAAAAGTATTCTTTGTAACAAAATCACTTTGTAAATCAAATTTCATTAACACTTTTGCAAAGATGTCTTCTATTGAGAAAAAAATTATATTTCTGCTATTATTCTTTCCTTCAATAAAGAATTTCGGGTAATATTTATTCACTACGCATCCGTTTTCCTACTTTTATTACTGCAGTTATGTTGTTTTTTTTTTAATAAATAGTCTCAAAGTTTTTGTTGAGGGGTTTTCCCCTTTTTACACAAATGGACTCACCCAGGGTATACATATACTACTGCTAGTGAATACCCGGATGAAAAACGAGAAAGAAGGACGAACCAGAACGAAGGTAACGAGAAAGAGTCACAGTGAGCATGCGCGTAGACTCAGTAAGAAGTCATGCAGTGATACGTCGATACCAAAGACTATATATATATTTTGCTACTAACCCGCATTCCTGGAACTACTAACCTGCATTACTAGTTTGTATTATTACACTAATACATTTATTTTCCTATATTCCTTCTTTGTTATTTATTGATACCGGATTTCATCCCGGAATCCACAACAGTTTTTATTGCTGCTAATATATTTTTTTTCAAAACTATATCGCTAGTAATATCGTTCTTCAAAAACTATTGCTTTTAAATTTTTAAAAAAAAACATATATCTGGTAATATTTTTTCCAAAAAATTATAGCTGGCAATATCTTTTTTGAAAAATCTATTGCTGGTAATAATTATTTCTTCAAATATACATTTCTGGTAATAATTATTACTAAAAAATATTTCTGTTATTAAAACCTATATTTACACTTTCATAGAATTTTGACCACAGTCTGGGGGTTAACTATTTGTCCATAGTTGGGACCCTAAAAGGTACTACAACCCTGGGTCAGGTTGCAGCCGGGAACACCAGCAATTAAGATGTGTTTCCATGCTGTTGCACGTAGATTATCGTCTTATCCAGGACACGGTTGTAGTATATCGTCATACTAGGATGGGATTTCTGTTGGAGGCACGCCTTTTCATTCGTAGCATGAAGTGTGGCGACTACATCGAATCAATGGCTGCATCCACTGGGACGAAATTTAGGTCACTGTGCTGTGCCAAAAGTTTTTTTTTTTGTCAGAAGTCATCTTGCACATTTAGAAATTGTCCATTCGTCCATGCGTTGAATATTGTTGCTATGTATGGTCTGCTGCAACTCTCGAGATCCTTAACAAAATCCAAAGAAGTATCTGTAAACTTGACCTGGCATCTCGACTTCAGTTACTTTCGCGCCATTGCCTTTTCTACAAATATTCATTGGCATCTAAGTCCTACAAATTTTACTTTGATTTTTTTTTTATTTTCTCTCCATCATCTGCTTTCCCATATATATACTCGATTCTCTCCGTCGAGGGTCAAACAGATCAGTTCCTAGAAAACCGTCAGCCCGACAACAGCATATGAGATTTGATTATAGTGTTGAAGGTTTCGTGCAGGACCATCCACACCTTTTGAAGGGCCGAATACAGAGACCTGGTACACTACGTGCCACGAGGTCCCCAAACGACCCTACGCAGGTTTTGAATTCAAAGTTGTCCTTCTCCTAGACCAGTTGCCATCCAAGGCTATAGAACCCAGTCTGTCCTGCTATTTACCCAAAACTGGAGGAAGAAGAGTATTCACACCTTTCCCAAGGGTATTAGCATGTAAGTGAATGTAATGAATTCGATTCCTCAATCCAAGCCGCTATCCATTACGCCACCGTGCCTCCTCTCTCTCTCTCCTCTCTCTCTCTCTCTCTCTCTCTCTCTCTCTCTCTCTATCTATCTATCTATCTATCTATATATATATATATATATATATATATATATATATACTAAAATAAAGAGAAAGAAAAGTAAGATTTATAATCTGGTGTTTTTATTAATTATTTTATTTTTAAAAACCAGTGCTCAATACAATTCTGCAGAGCATAATTAGAAATTTTACGGCAAAAAAGTGCCGAAAAATTTTGTCAATGAAAAAAACAGACGACATGCTTAACCTGATTTCGAAAGTAACTCATATTTTGATACAATAGTTTTAAGTGAAAATGAATACCCCTTGTCAAGATGATTGAATTTCCCCGTATCCTTAGTAACTAACATTAAGAATGTATGTGCTTATATTATATTAAGAGTGTATGTGCTTATAAAACTCAGTAAATTTCAAATAAGTTATTCCAAAATTCGCTTGAAAATGAAACATGATTAGGGATCTTAATTTAATTGTATAATTAAATTTGAAGTTTTTAGTTTCTGTTTTGAAAGATGGTAATTCCAGTATGGTGATGGAATCATATTTTTAAACTAGTAAATTCATAATATATATATATATATATATATATATATATATATATATATATATATATATATATATATTTATAATAAAAAGGCTTAAACACTAATATTCCATGGTCATAATTTATTCCATTGGAATCGTAAATACGATCCAATTCATCAGACCTACAAATTCAAAAAGAAAACAGAAAAAACAACTCCGGAAATAAAAACAGAATTTAGAGAGAGTGTAAGTATGCGGGTTTGGGACGAATGTTAGAGCTAAAGAGGAGGGTAACAGACAAGAGAAGGAGGGAGATTAAACCTTAACAGAGAGAATTTTAGGAGAGGTGAGTGGAAGGGGTTTAAGTAAGAGAAATATGAATGTTGTCGGATGTCTAATACATAAAGATACATTTCGTGGTGACATAAACACACCATAGACGATCTAATGTTGAAGATCAGAATTAGAGGGAGGTAGAGAAAAGGAAAGAAGAGGTGGGGGAGAGAGATGAGGCGAAGGAAAGTAAAATTGAAGGACATTTACTGAAAGGGCTGCTGTGTAATTGAGAGAATATGTATGTGTATGTGTGTATTTACCACTAATATTATCTATCTATCTATCTATCTATATATATATATATATATATATATATATATATATATATATATATATATACTAGCTGTAACAGCCAAATTGTCCAAATCGTGTTACATCATAATTGTCCATCCCGCGAAATGTTTGATATCTGAAAAAAAAAAAAAAAAAGTTTCTTTTTTCTAAGTTACATTAATTTAGTTATTCTTGATCATCATTTCAATTTAGAGCTAAAGAGATTAACTGGAAAATATCTAACTCATTTCATAAGACTATCATTAAATGGAAAATATCTAACTCATTTCATGAACTATCATGGGGGAGGAGTTTCAGCTATGATAGTCCAAAGAGCAGTGACAAAATGACATGAAAATGAAATAGTTGGTGAAATGTGTGAGGTAATTGTTACTCCAGAACAGAAAGTAAGAAGGTTAGGGATGGTGCAGATCATCTTGAATAATTTGTAAAATAACCCTAAATAACACACACACACACACACACACACACACACACACACACACACACATATATATATATATATATATTTGAACTTTATTTCAATACTTCATGATCTTCCGATCCTTAGCTGCGATTAATTACTGATGAACATAAATATATATATATATATATATATATATATGTGTGTGTGTGTGTGTTAATTAAGAAAAGTATTCTTTGTGTATATATATATATATATATATATATATATATATATATATATATATATATATGATTAAAAAAAGTATTCTTTGTATATATATATATATATATATATATATATGATTAAGAAAAGCATTCTTTGTATATATATATATATATATGATTAAGAAACGTATTCTTTGTATATATATATATATATATATATATATATATATGATTAAAAAGTATTCTTTGTAACAAAATCACTTTTATTATCTGATAAATTTCATCACGATACATCTGATAAGCTAAGAGAGTAATTATACATTCTTTTCTTCTAAAAACCTCTGAAAATTCCAGTAAGATACATTTAATCATTTCTAAGATACAAAGTGTCAGAACGTAATCAAACAATTCGGCAAGTTTGGTCAATTTTGTTACACATTATATATATATATATATATATATATATATATATATATATATATATATATATATATATATATATATATATATATATATATACTGAGGTTAACACACACAAATACATATATGCGTGTGTTTGCGTGTGCGTGTGAATATACCAAACGAGGAAGAAGATTGGAGACTTAGACGTTTGAATGAGCGCATAAGGCAAGGCTATAAGGACCACCTTAATAGGCATAGCAAGGAAAAAAACACAGGATGGGGTCTGCTAATAATGAAGCAGAAATCAAACATGGCCTGTAGCAGTAGAATCAGTCAAAAATGTGAAAAGGAGCAGCACTAATCAACAGGCAGATTAAAACTAAGTCTCCAAGGCCGCTACAGCAAATTGTACTACGGGAAAATAGCCTGGTGAATTAAAGCAGTGTTTGGTGAATTTGGTAACATATTGGTCATGAATTAGATCCATAATATTAAGAACTAGACATGGAAACGAGAACAGTTTAACAGCGTAGATTAAATAATATCTATCTGAAACAGTTTGTAAATATCTATCTATCTATCTATCTATCTATCTATCTATCTATCTATCTATCTCTTTCAGACTGTTCATATCTATCAATGTCTATTCCTATCTATCTATCTATCTATCTATCTATCTATGTCATTCAGTGTATTCATATCTATCTATCGATCTATCTCTTTCAGTCTATTCATATCTATCTATCTATCTATCTATCTGTCTGTCTATCTCTCTATCTATCACAGTTTATTCCTATCTATCTATCTATCTATCTATCTATCTATCTATCTATCTATCTATCTATCTATCACAGTCTATTCCTATCTATCTATCTATCTATCTATCTATCTATCTATCTATCTATCTATCTATCTATCTCTTTCAGTCTGTCCATATCTATCTATCTATCTATCTATCTATCTATCTATCTATCTATCTCTTTCAGACTGTTCATATCTATTACTGTCTATTCCTATCTATCTATCTATCTATCTATCTATCTATCTATCTATGTCATTCAGTGTATTCATATCCATCTATCGATCTATCTCTTTCAGTCTGTTCATATCTATCACTGTCTATTACTATCTATCTATCTATCTATCTATCTATCTATCTATCTATCTATCTATCTATCTATCTATCTCTTTCAGTCTATTCATATCTATCTATCTATCTATCTATCTATCTATCTATCTATCTATCTATCTTGTGCTTCAGTCTTTTCTTAATATCTGTCCTGTAGCCCAGTCATGTCCTCTGAGTTTTCCCATCTCTCCGAATCTTTTCATCCATATCTCTCTGTTTCAATTACTCTATGTATCTGTTCGTCTCTCTTGCTCGATTCAAATCTATTTATCTATTGGTCCCATCTAAGTGCCGTGTAAACAGACGGTTGTTCAGTCATGATGACCCTGGCAGTGGGCAGAACGTGCCCTTCTTGCAATTCTTCTTCACCCGAAAGAATGCCATCGACACTTGTCAGATGCCAGCCGTTGAGAGAAAACTAAATAGTACAATGAAACGGCCTAAGGAAAATGCTGTTTTATTCCCCTTTTCCCAAATGGCAACCCATAGATATTCCTTGACAGCAAATTCTTCGAAAATTCCTTATGGAATTTTCCATATGTCTTTCTTGCTATGAAACTAAGATACTTAAATAGACCGGTCCATTCTTAAAAGTAAGAATTATATATATATATATATATATATATATATATATATATATATATATCAAAACGTGGCTTCCCTCTGTCTGTTCTATAAATAATTTCATAAGAGTTGTTCTAATTATCTTTCTTCCAGTATGTCCCTACTGTGTTAATTCAAGCTTACTACTAGATTTACTGAGGAAATAAATGCCACTGTAAGTTCTATTCTAATTTTTTTCTTGCAATTCTGGACGATTCTGGTTTCTTCTTTATGTCAATTTTCATCTTTCGTCTTCCTGAAACCTGTTATTTTATTGTCCTTTCTCCTCATTAAAGTTTTCGTATTTCTCTTCACTCCCAGTAACCCCTTGCATCTTAGTAGCATTATCGCCATCTTCTGTCTTCCTGAAACCTGTTCTTTTACTGTCTTTTCTCCTCACTAAATTCTTCTCATTCTCTGTCACTCCCAGTAACCCCTTGCGTCTTATGGGCATTATCGCCATCTTCTGTCTTCCTGAAACCTGTTTTTTTATTGTCTTTTATCCTCACTAAATTATTGGGATTCTGGTTCCTTTTAAATTCTACTTCAACTCTATACTTCTCTTGCATCTTAGTGGTGTTTTCGTCTCGCTTTGAGTGAGTTGATTTAAATAAATTAGAATCCAATTGCTATGTGATTAGAAGATCATCTTCTAGATCAATCCAATGGTCTACCTAGATTCTCTGATGGACACTGAGCTTAGAGTCTAATTTGGTATCATCAGTGATGTCTCACATACTATGAACAGTAAGTAATCAAATCGTCTTTTCCCCATTAATTTGAGCACGCGTTTCCATTCTTAGTTATCCTTGTTTACTACACCACAAGTGTTTAATATAACGTTTCATTCATTTGTTTTCATCAGAACGAATTTAAATTATATTCTTGGAGTTTTTTCATTGTTTTTTCCCACCTGTATTCTTAAGAACTGAATTGAAAACTGAATTTGAAAAATTGAGTTAAAATTAATTAATACAATTTTGATTTAATATAAAATTAAATTAGAAAGTGAAATTTAAAACGAAATTAAAAAGTAAACATAAATGAAAATAAAATTAAAAATAAATTAAGAAAGTATTATAAACCTATTAAAAATCTGAATTAAACATTGAATTAAACATTAAAACTTGATGTAAAATTTGAATTACAGAATAGAATTTAACAACTGCATTAAATTGGATCAAAAATAAAATTCAAGTATTTAAGTAAAAATTTCTTAAATAATTAAATTAAAAAAAAGACAAATGAATAAAAAAAGGAATTAAAAAATTGAAGTGATTAAATTAAAATTGAATTTCTAAAATTAAATAAAAAAATTAAAAATAATACTGATTTAAAACATAAATTGAATTGAGTTGCAAAAATGAACTAAAAAAGTTAATTTAATTATTGAATTTTATAAATGTCTAAAAACAGATGGCGTAAAAAATTAAAAATTCAATTAAATAACAGATTTAAAAAAAAAACTGAATTCAAAGATTCATATTAAAAACAAAGAACAGCGTCTACGTCTTTTCTCTTCATTTCTTTGATTCGTTGATCGGCTCAGATGAAATTCTGTATTTGTCTACATCGCCCCCGCATCTCGAAGTGTCAGGCAAGAAATGAGATATTTTATCACAAATATTCTTTGGTCACTAAACCACTTCTGCCTTCTCTTTTCATAGCATAATCCTCTTACAGCCAAAGCACATACTTATTTTATTTAATTAGTAATCTCGTCCTGTAGACAGACGAGTAGCAGGATTTTATTTATTTATTTTCCTCTCCTTATCTTTTCTAATCTCTAATACAACTGTTTATCAAAAAACAGACGCAATGTAAAAATGGACACAAAAAAACAGCTGACATGAAGTGGAAAAAAAAACTATATTGAAACCATTGCTAGGTCAGGTGCTAAGAAAGTCGGTTTAATCTGTCGTGAGAGACATTTTTTCTTATATATCTATAAGTCTACCATTCGACCTTGCTTAGAATATTGCTGCCATATATGGTCCAGTGCTCCTGTTATTTATCTTGAGCTCCTTCATAAGCTCCAAAGAAGTATCAGCAATATTATTGGTCCTGATCTGGCAGCTTGAATTTAGTCACTTACGCGCTGCCGTAATGTTTCCTCTCAGTGCCTATTTTTTTAAATTAATACTTTCATGTTAATTGTGCCGTATCCCCCTCCTCCTTCGGGGGTTCTCTTGGGCGACGGTCTCACTGTTGTATATCTTCCCTCTGTCATCTTCCGGTCGGATAGCGAAATGTTTTGGGTGTCCTGAAATGAAAGAGGTATTAATTAAAAAAAAATATTAAATCTTACTAGTTTATTAATCACGTCGACGGGTACATCTAGCCAGTGGGGTTGCTCTCTCACTCCCACTGGGGTGCCGTATCCCAGACACAAAATAACATTCTTCGACATGTAAAAATAAATCACTGTAATCCCTTTCTATATTTCTCATTACCACGCTAGCTTTAGCTAATCAAAAACGACTTCATTTGTTTTCCAGTATCTGACCTCAAAGGTCAAAATGAGGAAATCAAAGGAGAAATACAATACTCTAAAAAATAATAGTCTGCTAGACAATTATTTAGCAATTGTTCGGATGACATCCTCGCTATGGTAACTAGACTGGTGTCGAGATCTCATCAATTTAAAGATGAGCTGGCTAAATGTAGCCGTAAATTCTATGCTAACAGTTACTTTTCTCGCACTTCCCGCTTGTGGAACTCCCTTCCGGCACCATGTTTTCCAGCCAACTTTAATCTGCAAAAATTTAAATGCAATGTCAATCGCTATCTACTATTACTTGATATACTCTTTCCTTTTCCCGCACATTACACTGGTCAACACGATTTTCAGTTCCAAAAGGCAAAACACGTTTTTTTAGCTAATTTAAATGGGGCTGATTCCGAAAACGACCTTAGTTTTTCATGCTTAGCTACCGTTTTTGCTGTATTGAAATTACTTATTTTTGGAATAAAGAACAATTTACGATTATGACTGATCGCAAAAATTTAGTTAATAAAAGTCGTAGAAACCTATCAATTTTCAGGTAGGCCGAGCAATTTATGTCAGCCACCTGAAATAAACTATTTTTATAAGAAAAAAGTGTTTTTGAGTAAAAAATTTAAAAATAGATATACCGAATTTTTCCGATTTATAGCGAAAATTCAAATTAACTGATAATCTTTATCAGTAATACAATTTAGTAAACTTGAAAATTAAGGTGACATCAAAAAAATGAAATCCTAAAATCTTCTGTTTGATATTCATAAATTTATCCCATCCCACTTTTATCCCTTCACTACGGCAGGAAACCAAGCACATTGAGAGCATTTTTGTTTTCACAGTTGGAAAGAAACTTCATCTAAGATATGTATATATAAACTTTAAATATTTATTTCAATTCTTCATGACCTTCCAATCTTTAACTATGATTAATTAATGATGAACATGTTATTTTCGTTTATGATCGATTTCATCACGATTCTTCTGTTAAGCGTAGAGAGTAATTATACAGTCTTATTGTTCAAAGTCAAGAATAATAGTTTCATAAAAAAAAACCTTGGCGAATTCCAGTAAGATATCTACGGTACAACGGTTCAAACCTTAATCTAAGAATTGGACAATTTAGTTTTTACACGATTTGGAGAATTTTGCTGTTACACCCGATATGTGTATGTGTGTGTGTGTGTGTGTGTGTGTGTGTAATCTTCATTTTTATGACTTTCTGGGTCAGGATTTTTTAAAATCTTTTTATCTAGAATCTTATATCACAGAAGTACCATATGAGTAATATTCAATTCTTTGAAGAATGGTAGACTTATAAATGTGGAAGATAGTCAGAAAAAAATACTGTTTAGCATGAAACGGAAACCCAACTTTCTTGGCAGCTGACCTATCAGGTGATTCAATATAATCTTTCTACTTCATATCAGCGGACAAGGTGCAGGCAGAGAGTCACTCTCCTGAAGGTTAGCATCAGCCATATTGGTAGAAGTCAAAGAAGCTCCGCTTAAACGATTGAAAGAGGTTAAAATTAACAAGCCATTTATTGTCACAGATTGTGGGAAGATTTTTAGATAAGCTGTCAATATGACTTTATCGAATCGGTCGGAATCAGCGTTAAGACGTGAGTGCTGGGTGTTTCACAATTTTTTAAACAAAATGATCGGGCACAATCGAGTATGCGGCCAGTGTCCAGTCCATGCTAACACATTATTTGTAAAGATTAAGGTTATATAAATTTTGTTTTTCAGTTAATAAACTGCTTATGTTTTTTTTATGTTTTGATATTGAATTATTTTTTGCAACAGAAATGGAAGATAAAAAATAATGAACTTTTATCATATTCATTACATATATATATATATATATATATATATATATATATATATATATATATATATGTATGTATGTATGTGTGTGTGTGTGAAAAATATATAGAAAAAAAGGAAAGACCTCGTTAGGTGAATAATCCAAAAGTTCTTTAGTATTTTTGTTATTATTTTTTTTAAAAATAGTGCTCGATGAGAACTCTTATGTAGTGTGTTGGAATCATA